TAGGATAATTACTAAATTCGTACGAGTATTTTGACCCTACAAAAGAAAAAAAACAATTTTTTTTGGTTTAAATGTTTTAAAGAATGAAAAATAATTATAATTTTAATTAACTTTTACGTTAATTAAAACACATAAAAAGTTTACACTAATTTATTTTACAAAAGAATTTTAAACAGTAATTATTTTATCTTGTTAACAGCAGTATATTGTATTGCTTATGTAACAGTCATTATGGGAATAGGAAGCAATGTTTTAGCATAGAAACCATTAGTTTAATTGGTTTTTAAGTTAATTTGAATGCATTATTTATAAAAGAATATAAAAAAATACACTGAAAGTTGAAGGAACTCTTTGAAAAATATATATATATATAAGACAACGAGTTTTTCATTAGACAAAGTTCTCTTTTTTATATAAATATAATGCATGTTACACGTTTTACACAAACAAAATTTCCTTTTAAAAGCAACGATGTTTTTTTCCTAATTTAATTATATTTTTCATTGAATTTATCATAATGATTGATTTCCATGTAAAGATTAAAAGATAAAACTTTAAAGTAAACAAGGACATTTAATTTTCTTCAATGTTACAAATTGTATAGATTTATTAACTCTATAAATATATATATTGATTATTGGGGTTAAAAATATTAAATTATATTAATTAAAAACTAAAATAAATTAATGTTAACTTTTAATAAAATCATACACCGACCCACACCTACATACACTTTCGCATTAATATTATTTCGCTTCGATATGTATTTAAATGAAAATAGAAATAAAATGCTATTTACTCGGCACAGAATAATCTAAAAAAATATCTTTCAATAAATATATTGAATTATTAATACATTTATTCGTTACACACCGAAAATATTTATTTTATAGTTTATTTAAACAATAATACTACATAGGTAACTATTTTATAAATTTTCCAAAAGCAAATAACAGATTAAATCGAATTGAATATACAAAATTATAAGGTATAAACTTATACAATCTGAATCCTATGGTAACAAAAGTATAACTGGACTCATCTCATACCTTTCTATTATATAAATAAGCTTCAATAATCCAAGCTTTCATTATTTTCAAGTTGTTTCCTTTGTTATTTATTTCTGCTTCGATGTACAGTACATCTATCATTCTTCTACACCATTGAATTCTTCTGGTTATTATCTGCAGTTGTCGAACCACCTTCCAAGAGATGTAACATTCAATAACACGAAGGAAAATTAACTGGCAAGTAGAAATGTTTAGATATTTTATTAGTGAAGTAAATAACACGAGAGAAAAATCTATAGAAGTGTGTTAATTCGAGATGAAATAATAGGATTGTTGTTAAAGATTATTCATAAAACAAATTCACATTAATAAACATTATAATAAAATAATTTAATGTGTTAAAACTTTAAATTATACTGTGTTAACACAGTTTTATGTGTTTATTTTATGTGTATTATTATGATAAAATATTATAACAATTACATTTGATATTTGTATAAACATTTCGGAAGAAGAATTGGAAAAACGGTGTAAAAATCTCACGTATTTGGTTGGCAGATTGATTCATAGCTCAATATTTTATACATTGCAATTTCACAATACTATTTACTTGTAAAGTAAATAAATTGTGATTTAATGTTACGAAATATATATATATATATATCTTGGTTTCTCCTGACGTTATAAATTGAAATTGAATAAACAGTAATCTTCAGAACATAAATTTTATTTTAATAATACGTTTCTTAACGTGAAGATTTTTATAAGAAAGATATATATTAAAGAACATACAGCAACCTGATCTATTACAGAATATACAGCAGTGTCTGCAACGATTTTTTGTTTTGTAACATTGTGGAAGTGAGAAATTTTTCTGGAAGTTGACATAACTCATAATTTAGTGGGAATTTTGTTATGATTAATTGAATCTGTGTTCAATCAATCGCAACATAATCCGCTACCTCGACAAACATGCTTATCGCTACTTACATTTCGCCTCTAACTAATCGAGAGGATGAACGAGGATTATTTTCAGATCAAACTGTTTTAACCTTTAATGAAATATCGCTATCAAAAATTTCGTTGTATTAAGTTTGAAGCTTCAATTTAATCTATTCAACTTTCGAAGGATAATGTTAAATTACATTATTATTCATTAAATGAATTACAATAGTCCAATACTGAACGAAGGATAAATAAATTTTACTTGCAGATTTATATTGTGTATTCTTTACTGCATAATTATTATATTTTTCCATAATTTTTTTTTATATATTTAGGAAGAATAAAATGTATTAATGAATACTGTTTTTCTTCGGACAATTGCTATTTTTATATCTACAACATTGCTTCTCAGAAAATATTTTAATGATAATGATAACAAAATTCTTGAATGATCACCGCAGTCACCAGACTTAAATTTAATAGAGCATCTGTGGGACGAATTAGACTGTTGTATTCTTCTTAGCAGCGGTCTAATTCGTAAAGTTACGAGCTTACGCCATTTTAGTTTAAAGAAAAACGATCGGAAAACGTCTTTCATATTATCTTTTAAGTTAATGTCACTACTTGTCAGTCAGATTCGACTTATATCTGACTTTTCAAAAATTGTCTTTTGACTTCTTCGATCTAGACCTTTGAAAAGTTCATCTTATTACTTTAAACTCTTTTTCTTTTGATTATCATTTTAGCTTTGTTTTATGTTCATCCTAGCCCCAGGGAACTTTTACTATAAAGCTGGCGATGACAAGTCTCCTGAGTCAACTTACTTTGTTTTCTTCTAAGGCCTCTTTCAAATGGGCCTCACGAGTCACGTAACTGAGCCTCTTGTCCATTCATCTCTCTATTGAACGTTTTGTATTTTAAAGGTACTTTCACACGGGTATTAGTGGCGCGATCGAATGGCCAGTGTTTATAACTTTAATATGCTTTTCGTGTTTAGCAACAACTCCCCACTGAACTTCAACTCCTCCTCTTGCCCGACTTGTCCTTTCCCTCCTTTCCTGTGTGGAAGTCATTTATGGACAGCCCCTAACGGGTTTTGTGTAATAACAATTAAAATTTCTCTTACTATTAATTAAATCTTACAATATTATTAATTATATCACCTAAATTATGTTAAGGAAATTAGGTAAAATTGAAAATGTTTTTCAATAACACCAGAACATCGGATACAATTGAAGAAAAGATGCTATTATTTACCTTAAGTGTTTCTTTATCAAATTAAGTTGCATGTAAGTAACAAGCTTAAGAAGTCGATAATTTCATTAAAAAAATTCTCCAACCATTCCATTAATCTAACAGTTTTATAAAGTGACATTGCAAAGTTCAATAACCTTTCCAGAAGTAACTGTCATTTCACAACTGTTATTTTAATTCACTGAATAGAGATAGATGAATGGTACGACTCTATTGCTAATAGGAAAAGTATGATGTACAGGGGCAAGACAGAACTAAAACATTGACATTTATAAATTGCAGTATAATAGGAATTGTTTTATCACACATTCAAATAACAAACAAGAATATTTATTTGTTTTTTATAGGAGGATCTACAATAAAGACAGAACTAAAACATTGACATTTATAAATTGCAGTATAATAGGAATTGTTTTATCACACATTCAAATAACAAACAAGCATATTTATTTGTTTTTTATATTCCAAAATCTCAAAAATCAATACGAATTAGCTGGATTTTTGGAAATTTTTTGGACTAGCGAAATTAATTGGGGTATGTATATCCCTGTAACAGAAGATAAGAAATCATTTGGGGAATTCCCTATTATAGTGATGGAATTGATGGAGTAAGACAACATAACACGTGCGTGATTTGATAAATGACTTTTCTTTTAAAAACTCCTATTTAGGTCTTAGACACGTAAAGAAAACCAAGCAAACTCCACGTGGCTAGTGTTGCCGAAGTGCAAACTCAGGAATGGTGTTCATGGTTTCTATCTAAAAAAATATCCCTACAATGTCCACCAACGTCTGGGATTTTAGGGAATTTTTTTCTTGGAATATTCAAATTTTATAAGGAATTCTCTAAAATGAGAAATATCTTTTTTTTTTCAAATTTTTTGGAAGTTCCAATGTTTTGAAAATTAAAAATTTAGTTTTTAGATTATCGAAATGTCTTCAGAGATTAGTTATTAGTTAGATAAGTCCATTAAAATCAATTATAATAATAAAATATTATTGATATTAAGTTAAAATGTTTAAATGTAATTAAAATCATTTAGAAAAATTATAAAATNACCATATTCTAAATGTTAACAATAACTGCGGTATTCGTTGTTTTAATTAAAAATAAAATATTTTAAATAAGAAAAAAGAGAGACTTCTAAATCAAGTACAAGATATTATCTAATTTCAATTTGGATGAATGTCAATAAACAGATAAGGGATACATAATTCGCGTGGTGCCATCTATTACTGAAATTAATATACTAAACTTAATAATATTTTATTTCCTTTTCTTGGAAAAAATGTTATTAACCCTTTGCAATAATTGGTATATTTTAAAATCTTCAATACCATCTTCAACACTCTTTCCAGTTTTTTTTTTATTGTTAAATTGTTCCAGCTTTTCAAGAGTACATTTTCAAGATCCACTTGAAATAAATTATAATCTATATAATTTATTACGTTGTTTATTTTACAAATTAGCATTATTAACAGTAGGGACTTGGCTTTCGGATCGTTGTTTGGGAGGAATATTGTTCTTGTTAATTTAAAGCAATGATATAAGTATTTATAATTAGTTTTATCTGTATAGCTAATACAAAGTGTAAATATTAGTATCAAATGTTCTTCATGTTTTCAATGATAAAGAATAGCAACAAATTTTATTTAAGTTGGGTGTATATCTTTGAATTAAAATTATTATTACTTCTTTTAATTTATGAAATTCAGTATATATTTTTGTGTACTTAATTCAACACTTTTACAAATTAACGGATTTGAGCTAAGAGAAAAATAAAACAAGACTGCAACGGCCGGGAATCGAACCCGGATCATTCGCTTGGGAAGCGGACATTCTACCATTGAACTACCGATGCTCGTTATAACAATACATGCACGATTAAAATCTTCTATAATTTTTCCTTGAAATTACAGAATTTTTTCATTTCTCAACGAACAGAACCATTGTTTTTTTACTGTCTTCTATTCAATACATTGTTATTATAGCGGTTCCATCTTTTATAAATCCCAGTATTTTCGTCACGAATACGGTCTCATCGAAAATGCATCACACGTTATTCGCATTCCATATTGATTTATTTGAATTACGATATTAGCACTGGCATATAATTGAGCACCAATGTATTGCCCCTACCCCTTTGGTGTATTCAACTTTAAAAGCTACATTAATTAGAAGAGTGCCAATAAGCTGAAAATGTAGGCATGTTGTTTCCATTATAATAATTAGTACTTTAAATATGATGTCAAAAGTATTTAAAATATAAACTTTTGGTAAATATTTTAAATCAAATCGAATTTGTAACTATATATCAGGTTTAAATTATAACCTTGTTGACTTTATATAGAGTGTCAGTTAATGAAATACTAAGACACATTAGGATAAGTTTAAATCTCTTAAGGATTAATTTAAGTCTTTGAAATTTATTTCCAAAATGTAATACATATTTCTTTAGTTCAATATTTTTATTATAAGGAAAATGAACTTTTAAAAGATAAAACTACAAAATCGGATAATGCATTTAAAGCGAGTAGTTGTCATATTGATCGACTAACCTATTTCATCAAAGAGAATATAAAATGATGCCAGTCAGCAAATGCTAAAAAAAATATATGAAATCATCAAAAACTCATTGGGATTATGAAATTACAATGGAAATTCTTTTGTGTCTTATCGACTTATTGATTTTTTATTATACGAAAAGTTTTAAAAGTTTTGCCTCAAATCTATATTTAAAAATTAACTAAATTCTTCGCTAGATTAATTTACAATTACACACGCAATAATAATATAATTAGATTGTTTAAATATGTAAATAATTTCAATAAGAGGTTCCTTTATAAGTTTTATACGTCTGCACGAATCTAAAAAAAGTCTCTGTAATTATTTTTTCTTTTAAAGCAAAGTTTATATTTTTATAAAATGTTATATAAATGTTATATTTATATTTATAGAACACTTATCATGAATAGCAGAGATTATAAATGGATTTTTTCATAAATAATAATATCCGTGATGCGATATTATATTTCTCTTCTCTGATTTATGAATCAATAAAAAGCAGATCATATGCTATCTTAAACTAGTGAAAAAGTACATTGATGTCCTTATGCATGAATATTTTTTCATGTAATATTGAATAAACTTCTATGATCATTAGATCGAGAAATTAACATTTCTATGTAAGAAAATATTTTAATTATAAATCTTGAATTTATAAACACGATGACCGAAACAAGAAAATCATTCATCTTATACTGAATTTTTATATTATTTATTTAAATTGAAATTTTCTTTGCTTCATTCCATTCTCATGAAAATGGTTGCAGTCATTGTTTTGGTATTGCTGACCTTCTCGATCACCATCATCTTAGTAGGGCTGGTTAGTAATCTCGGAGAGAATCAAATCTTCTTTGGTAAATACCTCAAATGTAGTGAACATTTCGCATGTTTTTTCTCACTTTTGTCCTAAAACGCAGAATAAAACGGTGTTTATACGCATATACTTTGTAAAAAACTCACCAGAGACACAGTAATAACACCTTGGCTTAAGTAATAAAATAAGAGATTGACTGTAATAGAGTAATGTATTATTACTTCATAGTTTACGAATCCTTTCAATAAGAGCCCACCATTTTACCTCATCACTATGGTAGCAGTGTTTCCAATATAATCATTAATTAGCCAAAAAGCCACCTTCTTACTTTTACTCCTGTTACTATATATACACATTTATGCACACATTGCAGTTAATTCCTAAATGTACTTAAAATAACTTATAATATTATAATGATGACACATTGTCTGTAGTAATATGATTTGAGAGAGTTACCACCAATACAAACTAAAGTTTTATGAGATTTGGTTCGAGTTCGACTTACATACTTCAAAGTTAACAGGATTTTTGGAACTCGCTTACTTTAATCCGAAGGCCAAGAAATGGAAAAGAAACAAAGTCCAGTAGGTAGGGATTAATATCATATATCACAATCTGATACATAATACAACTCAGCATCTCAACTTAAATAACAAGTATCAAGTTTTACTTTCATCTACGAATTATGTTTTCGTCTTATTTTCAATTAGTTCAATTTATTTTGTAATTATCAATCTATTTAATTGCAGTAATTCTCATTTATATTATTTTATTAAAATATTTAAACTATTTTAATGTTTAGCTACTTTTATTTGTAATCTTCAACACCATTATACGTGGCACACTCAGGAAGGAACAAAACTTATTTCTAGAACACTTCAAAGAAATAAGTTTCTGTCCCTTTCTGACCAATCAGAACTTTATTTTTTGACGCACCACACATTAATCAACGTTTCACATTATATATATAGAAAGGATTTTCTTCTTTCCTCTTCCTTCTTTCTCCCAAAGAAAAAAAAAGCAAAATTCTTATTATCAATTGTGGAGTAAAGAGGAAAACTTCATTAGATAAAGGATAGTATTTGAACAAATGAGTTAATATACAGTTTCTTGCACAGTATTTATAGAATTACTATGAAGCCACAATAAATTACATTATTATTCTAAAACAAATGATACTTTTAGAAGATCAGCTGTAAATATAATCAATTAGAACCAATTTTTTAATATTTTTCACAAGTTGTACAAAGGATGGTCCTCATCGCCCGGTTGTCTTTTTGTGGGCCTGGTCGGACCCATAATGAACTTGCTAATAAAAGGGTCGTCCTAGTGACCACAGGGCTAAAAACGTTTTTTAAAAAAATCCAGCAACTAAAGTTGCGTAAATTTCCCGGCTGTTACGACTTTGTGTTTTATTAGGTAAATTACTGTACACAGTGTATTCATTAATTTTCATTTTCATGTAGTAAAGGCTCTATGCCTTCATAAAGGACGTACTTTTCCTTTGTTTAAGGGTATTTGGGCAGTTTATTCTCTGTTATATTCTCAAGTAAACAATACATACAAGTACAGTACAGTATTTTCTGAGGAAACACTCGTACTTATTTTTTTAACCACATTCCCGATAACCCGGCATTTTCACAAACTCGGCCACCCTTCGGTCCACATTAGGCCGAGTTTTCGAGGTTCTACTGTATTAAGCATAATAAATAAAATTGTGTGTGGCGCCATCTGTTATGAGATTTTGTTATATAAAATTTTATATTTTAATTGCTATAAAATGTATAAAGTTAGAAAAATAGAAGAATTATTCTATGAAAAACTGGTTCTTATTTAAGTGTTACAAACGTGAAGAAAACCAAGTAAACTCCGCGTGGTCATCTCACCAACTGCTAGTGTTTAGTGGTTTAATCCAATCACTCATGGGCATTAAAGAATATTCAAAGCACAATTATAGAAATAATTTATTAACAGGCAAAACTAATTGTGAAAAATAAGGAGAAACATCAAATGAATGGCGTAAAAGAATAGAATTTTATACTTTTATTAATACATGTACGAAGTGTTTTGTCTCTCTGCCTAGCATAATATTTCACGACTGAAGAACCGCTGCTACACTCCGGTTGAAAACCTCTGCCTTAATTAATTATGTCGATTTTTCAGAGAATATTTTTTCCGTAAAAAATTCAGTATTTACAATTAATTAAATTAAATTAACTTTTTTATATCGATTCTTAGTTATGGATTTTTATCAATATACTGATCTATATTTTGTTCGAGGGATAAGTTTATTCGTTCGTGAAAACGAGTAAAGTTTTATTACATGCATGAAAAATTCATTTTATCTTCTCTGTTAACACAAACACATCGAATTTATTGAACGACGCAACCTAGTTCAGTGACATAAATAACATTATGTACTGTACGTATATATATTGAATACAATCTATCCACTTAGCATTTTCACTTAGCATTGTGTTTGAAGAAATCCAGTCATACGATAATCAGTCCANTTGGAATATTCAAATTTTATAAGGAATTCTCTAAAATGAGAAATATCTTTTTTTTTTCAAATTTTTTGGAAGTTCCAATGTTTTGAAAATTAAAAATTTAGTTTTTAGATTATCGAAATGTCTTCAGAGATTAGTTATTAGTTAGATAAGTCCATTAAAATCAATTATAATAATAAAATATTATTGATATTAAGTTAAAATGTTTAAATGTAATTAAAATCATTTAGAAAAATTATAAAATTTCAACTACATTAATAAATTTACGCGAATAATAATTTAAAAGAGGAAAGCTTAAATCGAAGTAAGGTAACTTGAAACTTTCAATTACACTTTAAGGATGTTTTTTAGATATTTTTTAATGCTTTTTATCACTTAAAATGGTTTTAAATAAAAGTTTTAAAAGTCTAACATAATTTAATTTAAATATTATGATTTTTAAATAGAGAATTTCCATTTATTTAACCTACAACCCCCATAGAAAAAATCAGCTAGATACAAGCTGATGCTCAAGTTTATTGACTTCAACGTTGAACTGTTCAGCAAAATAAAGAAATTCGTTAAAAAATGAGTAATTTAAATAACATTTGATGAAAGTATAATATTAAAATTNAATATTAAAGTTAGTCGACATTTGACTGATGATGTCGATGATATATCATAATATAAATTGAATAATAGAAATCGATAAAACTCCTGAAGCATAGTTTGAAGCGGAGTAAAGTTAATAATCGATCAAAGAATGGTTTTTGTCTGTCTTCCACTGATTCTTGTTATATCGGAATCGAATTTGATAAAGAAAGGAATAAAAAATAAAGACGAAACTTGTCAGTCAAACTGCATTGTAATTTAAGTCATCGAACTTTGTTTCTAGGGAAAGAACCAAGAGGAAAACCTAGAAAGAGGTGGAGGAATAACGTCAAAAACTGAATGGAAACATATCTGAAAAATGCTCATAACAGGGAAGAATGA